GGCTCTGGCTTCCCACACCCTCGACCTCCAGCGCACTCTGTCCTGCAGGTGTCACGAGGCGCCCCCCCGGGCCGGCCCACTCTCCGCACGTCAACCGCCACCAACCGGCAGTGTCCGCGAGCTTTCCCATCAGGACCCCGCGGACCGGCTCAGGCGGCGAGAAGTCGGCCGCCCCGAGAACGAGGGACGGCAGAGGCGGGGCGCAGCAGGGGGCTCTCCAGCCCTAGAGCTCCAGGACGCGGGTCTGGCGTCCCTCCCCGCCCGCGGCACAATTGCGGGACGCGGGGAACCCCCGGTGAGGGGCGGGCTCCCCCAGTCCGCGCGTCCCTCCCCACACAGCCGACGGCGTTCCCACTCGCGCCCCGCCGCCCCACAGACCAGAAGGAGAAGCGGAAACGCCTCCGGGAACCGTCACCGCCGCCCTCATCCCGCCGCCGCCTCCAGGAGCGTCGCCGCCCGGCAATCACCGCGCGCATCTCGCAGGCGCCCCAGGACGCGGCGGTTCGGGTCACGGCCCCCGCCCGCGCGGTTCCCAAAGCCGCTGCGGGTCCAGCCCGGCCCTGCCCGCGTCCCCGCCGCGGCCCGCTCGCCGCCAGCGCCCGCGTCCGGCCCCGCGTCCCCGCCCCGCCGGCCCTCGGCTCACCTGGGCCTCGACGACGCGCGGGAGGAAGCTCAGGGTGACCTGCAGCTGCACTGCGGCCGCCCCCCCGCACGGCGCCGGCCCGCCGGGCCCCCGGCTCATGCTGACCTCTCCCCACAGCGCGACCAGCTGGGCCCCCGGGGCCGGGGAACGGTGGGCGGCCCGGGCGACGACCCAAGGTGACGGCTCCCGGCGGTTGAGAGGCTCCAGGGTCAGAGGTCCGCGCCGTGCGGACGCGGGGGACGCCCTCCCGGTCTCGCGGCAGCTGCGAGGGAGGCGGGAGAGCCGGGCGCCCCCACTTCATCTCCCAGGCTGCCCCGCCCCCGGCTTCCCCTACGCCCCGGCCACGCCCCCGCCGTGCGCCGGGCCTTGTGGCAGTTGTTGTCCCTGCGCGGCCGCCGGCCCACCTCCTGCGGGGGACGGGGCCGGCGGCGGGGGTAACCCGGGCGCTGCGGCGGCGGCGGCCGCTCCGCCTCCCCCACGGCGGCCAATGGGACAGGACCACGCGAGCCTCCAAAACAAGAGGCGCTGCGGGAGGGACTCCGCCCCCCTCGGCCGGCCGCGGCGCCGACCCTTCCTCGGTGGTGCCTCCTGGAATCCCGGATGGGGGTCAGGCCTGGGTGGCCGGTCCCCGACGCCGCACAGCCCGAGGACTCCGGGAC